AGCCTGAGGCTTCCCTTTCCCTCTTGGTGCGACTGATGCTGTGGCAGTTAATGTCTGTGAGAGCTGCATTCATCTAAGAAAAAGCAAATAGAAAACATGAGACTTTTGGCTAAAGGGAGTTTTTACCCCAATCACCAGTGTCCTGTCCTTCCAGGGAAAAGCAGCCAGGGCAGGACCACGGGTTTGGCCAACCCCAGTTTAACTGATGTGCTCCAATATTTATTTAACTGATGGGCTCAGCTGCAGATGTTACAGAGCCACTGCATCTCACTAACCCCTGATCTCAGGTAGGGGTGGAAATGAATGAGATTCTCCTTCCCCTCCCCATTGCAGCACCTCAGCTTTCATTCCCCTGCCACCTGTGACGCTTCTGTTTCTCTGCCTGGCCAATCAGCTAAGAGCTGAATTTTCTAATATGCACAGCAGGCAGCAAACAAAATAATTCGTAAACACTCTCACAGACCTTTATTCGTCATAAAAAAGAAAAAAAAATGGCTTGTCTCGTTTCTCCTCCTCTCACAGCAATTCTCTTTAAATAATTTCAGCAGGTACATATAGTGTTAGGAGGGGATGTCTTTATGGTTTTCATCCTTGATCAAGCTATCCTGTCTTTCCTATTTTTTCCAGTTGTCTCTAATATTTTGAAAACATTTACACTCACAATAATAGGCAATTTTATCACAAAGATTCTAGGCATGAGAACTATTGAGTTAATTTTCCTCTGTTTGTATCTCCAAAATGAATGGATTGCACCATTTAATGAAAACACTGTGCTCTGAAATTCAAGCCTTAAAATTATAAAGACGTGTCTGTGCTTTATATCCATCACTCTCTCACAGTGGTTTATATAAAAAAAATATATTTGGCTCCAGTTTTATTTATTTTACATTATGAAATAACAAAGATGTGTTCTGGGTTAAAACTGATCCTGAATGCTAATACGTGAGAATTAAATGGAGAGAATAACAATGGCCTAATGTCTATGCTAAATTAATATATACTATAAAAGATATGATGCATACTGGGTTGGTGTTCCCAGCAGAGTCATTATTTTGGAATAGGCTAAACAAACAATGATCATCCTTTCACTGATGAGTGATGGTCTCCAGTCTGCTGCCTTCTCACTCACGGTATGTAAATGATGTTCCCGAGCTTTGATCCAGGGACACAAAACATTTGCTTAGGCACTAAAGAATTGAAAATTGCCCTGAACTAGATAAAAGTAGGACAGAGCAGAGCTGTTAAGGTTTCACAGCATGGCTGGCAGGGCAGGTGGTTTATGTTAAGAGGTTAAGCAAAACACTGAGTGCCTAGTAACATCCGTGGAAAAAAATCTCCACCTCCTTCTCGGCACAGAGCCCACACATATGGTCCTTATTCCTGCTCCCCACATATGACCCTTCTCCTCTGCTGGCGCAGGGAATCCCCTTACCCCCATGTCTACATGAATAGCCCTGCCCAGATGAGCACATGGATATGGCCACTGCTCCTCTTTTCTCCCACCTATGAGCATCTTCTGCCAGCTGGTCCCTTCTGCCCCCGCACTGTCAGCAGCCGACCCCCAGCACAGCCTCCCCCAGCATCTTCAGTTCAGCCCCTTCTTGCTGCTGTGGATGCAACAGCAGGGGCAAGCTGAGCTGGTGCAGGATCTTGGACTGACCCCCCCATATTTACCTGTGGAAACATTCAGAAAAGTGGGATTTTATGTGCAAAGGCACCGGGTGTTTGCCCGGAAGCAGATTAATACAATGCCTTGTGCTTCCAGCCCTCAACTGATCTTTACTGCTCTAGGAAATTGTTAGCTATTCATTTAGGGCTGATCATCACATCCCTGTGTATTTCCTGAAGACTTTTGTTTTCACAGCATCTGAATTTCACCTCTGCATTTGGCTGGCAAATGGTGACTGCTTGGTCCCAGCAAAAAAAGACACACATCAGCTTTGGGGTAAGCAGGCTGTTGGTGTGTAAAAGTTGTATTAACACCTCCAGCTTTTTGGAAGGATCAAGTTTTCATGTCATTTCAGCCAGAGTAGGTCCCAGCATCCACTGTTCCACAGAGGTATGGGCAGGACTGCAGAAAGCTGTGAATCCCCTGGGCAGAGGGGCAGGACAGGGCTGTGGCAGCCCTGGACAGGGCTAACCCCAACTGCTGAGGCACCCACAGCTGCTGGGAGGATGAGGTCTTTTTAAAATGAGAGGGGAAACCATATTTGCACTGTAGCAGAATTAGAATAACTTGATTAAAAGAAATGCAAACAAGCCCTTCATTTTGCTTTGTCTCTTTGTAATGTGATTCATCTTATACTACCTGTGTAGGAAGGGGGAGAAGATAAATAAGTACAGAAAAGCCTCCCTGTGTCATGAAAATAGCGTATTTGTTAAAATAACAAGCACAACCATCACTAGGCCAACTGCTGCAGCTTTCCTTTATGGAATTGTCTCTCATCTGGAATGGTTGATGGCTGAACAGGTTTGCTGCCAGAGCATTCAAAACCACCCATCATGGGGCCTCAAAGTGATGGAGTGGATGTCCAGCCCCACTGCCCCCAAAAGACCTCTTCCCTCACCATTTCCATAAGACATGCAAACACAGTAACTTTGATAGTTTTACTTCTCTGTTAAGACTGTGTAAAACTGGATTATGGAGTTAAAAGGTATCACCAGGAGATGAGACAGCATGAAGACACCACCCTGTTCCCTGTGGAAACAGGGCTTAAAAAGAGTAGAAAAGAACAGAGCAATGAGATGGTCATCGGACAGGGGGAAAAGCAAGGCCAAGAGCAAGTAAAGGGCTGGGAAAGGACCAGAGAAATGCTGGGGTTGCAGAGCAATGGAAATCCTGCTAATACCTCACAGAATAAAGGCCTTACCTGGAAAAAGGCTATGCAAATGAGTGAAGACATGGAGCAGTGGGGTGATGAGTAAAACTAATTAGAAAATGAGGCGTGATTATTCATGGACTTGACATATCAGAGAACAGCTAATCAAAGGAATAATACAAGTTTGCATATTCTTTGTGATGTGGGCATCAAAGCCTTGCTTCTTGTAATTTCAGCATCACTGCTGCTCGTTCCTAAAACCAAGCACACTTGATGCACTTGTAACATCTAGCTCCAGATCACACAATGGGTCTCAGAGAGCCTGAGGTGTTCAAAACAGCTGTTTTTTCCAGCTATTGAAATGATCTCACATTTATCTCTACTTATAGATCTTGTCTCCCTGACTACAAACATTGCCCAAAACTCTGGGTGTGTGGGAAACTGGGCAGCCTTTAAAAGCTTCAGCTAAAGACCTGGAAACTCAAGGGACCCACCTGGCAAGATAATCACAAGATAATCCCCTATGGTTCTGTTTTGCTGCTGAGTGATTGCTAAATAAACTTCCTTGAAATCCCACATGGGAAGATGGACTTGGCAGGAGGTATTTGCAGAGAACTTGGGTGCAGGAAGCTTTCAGAAGTACCTCCTTCCCAACACACAGCATCAGAAACCTTCCAGCCAGGCTGTTCGTTCTAGCAAATCTTGGATTTTCACCACCACTCAGAGCCTGATGAAAGGCAGGCCAGATTTCAAGTTACAAGGTATCAGCAGTATTTCCATCTCACACATAGGTCTCGGCCCTGTGAAAGGTTTTAAAGGAGGACCTGATGTGGGACTGGCATCTGGCCACGTACCAACTGTCTGGGCAACAGTTGGAGAGTGAACAAATGATATCGCCCCATCACCACTGATTCCTTCCCAGCATGAAACTGGCTGAAAAACTGCTGAAACACCAAATTCCCTTTTGATGAGGACAGCCTGGGACAACTCCAGGAAACAGGATCCATGGGGATGAAAGGGCTCTTTCAAGTATGCCTCTGAATCAGTGGGAAAAGCAAGAAGTTGGGATCGCTCCTGCCACTGTTTGCTTGTCTGGATAATTACAGTGATGGGTATATTAATACTATCTGGCATTAGATCCAAAGAGGAACCAGGCATTGAAAGAGATTACTGGTGAGGTGTGTGAAGCACCCTTTTGGAGGTGCTTATGAACAGATTAGGAGGAATTAGAGAGGGTATGAGCCAACAAAGCCCAGGGTTGCAAGCCATATGGTCCAAGGGATATTTTGTGCCCACTTCCAAGATATATCATGCAAAACTGGTATATCTGACCTAGTTTAGGACAAAACCTGCAGCATTTGCTTGATTAAGATAGGTAAGAGACTAAATAGGATAATGTAGAGTGGTCTTCAGCAGTGGTTTCACACTGAAGAGAAAGGCTTTTAAAGGACTCATGCAAATATTTGTTGAATCTTCCTAAAACCAAGGGGAAAATCATTTCACATGGCCCTGAAAGGAACAGTAGGAAAAGACCATAATATTACCTAATGCTATCTCAATAGTAGTCCTGTGTGGAGTGAATACAGTGGGATTTGTTCTTGGCATTCAAGATATCTGAAAGGTGAAATATGCCCTTCACAGTGAAGTTATTCCATTTTAACTACACTGGTTTGAAGTAGATTTGGTTAAACCAGTACCACCTTTTACCTGGACAGTCTTCAATCTAGTTAGTTTTGATTTAACTTAATTTTGGTGTCATTATGTGTACAGACTTCATCTTGGATGCTGTATAAATATTTGCTCATTGAAATTGATGCTGAATTTGGGCAACACAATCTTGTGGAATTAGGGGGAATTACCCTCTCATCTTGTGTGAGAGGGGTTCAGATGCAGGAGCAAAAAAAAAATCTCAGGAAGAGGTTTTAAATTTCCACAGACAAGTTCATGCAATTACCTAATTTTTAAAATGGATGGAAGAATAAATGAAGGTGAAGCAAAAAGAACCTCAAGCATTATCAAATAATAAAAAAAAAGAAGCTTTGAGGACATTTCCTTCCAGCAGCAGGGCTGATGAATCTTCAGGGAGTGATCCCATAGTCCAGTGAAACAAAGAAACACTCATTTCACAGTGAGATTTTGCAACAGCAGATTTACCAGGAATAGCAAATAAATAATTCACTGTTCCTGAAGATGTGAAGATAAATTTTCTTTCCTTTATTTCAAATCTAATTCTTCCACCTGCAAAAGGCCTACAGCAAACATACCCCTAACAAAATAGAAAATAAGGAATAAAGCAGGAGTTTCACTTTCCAGTTATGTTTAAAAAGACTCCTAAAAAAGGAAAGCCTCACCTTCCTCTGCAACCTCCTCCACCGCTGCCACGAGTCCACAGGGAAACAAAATATTTGTGTTATATTACACTGAAACTTCTAGAATAAGAAAACAAAAAATCAACATTCAAAATGTTACCACAACAGAATTCCCCAGCTGAGCTGCATGTAAATAAAAAATATTGAATACAGCAATTTCTTGTAGTTTTCCAAAAATACCCAGGGTTCATAGCATTACAGCACTCTGCAATAACTCAAAGAAAACCAAGGCAGTGTGAATTTATACCTCCTGATCCTGAATTCTAGCCACTGGTCCCTTGGCTTGGGCCGGTTTTCACCAGGTGCTCCAGGCCAGCCTGCATTTGCTTTGCTACAGGCACAGGCTGCTCTTGGAATCCCACTTTGAGGAGATGATGCCAGTCCTGCATGTGCCTTAGCTGCCACTTTGCAGGATTAAAATAGTAGCAGCTATTTTAATCCACTACTGGAATACATCTGAAGAAATTCCTTGCAATCCCTTACTTCTCTTCCCAGCTGACACAGAGCCACATGGCAGGGAGTGCACGTGCAGTCCGTGTCCCCTGGCCAGAGCATTCCTTCCCTGCTTTGGACAGGAGGGGCAGATGCAGGGTACCTGCTTCATGGTGTGAGCACCCCTTCACCCAGTGAGGGCTGAACAGCATGGGCTGGCCCCATCCTGGTCTGAGCCTCCTGCTCAGCACTTTAGGAATGCTGCAGGCCTGCTGAAGGGATGGCTTGGGATCTGCAGCAGCCCCACCATGGCCTCAGCAACCCCCCACCCATCTGATGCCAGTGTGAGTTCTTCATCCCCCCGGTGAGGGCTGCATCGTCAAAACATCTGCCATGTGTATTATAACATCTCGTCCAACACTGCTTAAATCAGAGGAGCCAACACATGAACCTTTGCTAACTGCTCATTGACATAATAAGAAATTAAGTGGGCAGAGGAGAGGGGGTCAATGCTTCTGTTCCTACCCTGTCACAGTGGCAGGGTCCACTGCTGCGTGTGTACACTGCTACATACAGATACTGTACATGCACTAGATTACTGTGCAAAGATTACCTGTGCAAAGAGATGGTGAAGATGGATATTATTATGATGCATGGGGCTGGTTCCAGCCCTTTTCCTGCTCATCTTTCCCTATTAAAGATAAGCAAGGCATAACAATGTGGCCTTACAAACAAAGGGGTGTAGCACAACACCTCTCAGCATCAAAGTTCAGCAGATTCTCCACAAGGATATGCATCCTCCAGCTACACAGAACTTTTATGGACCTGCCTAGGTCCCAAGTAGATACAGCAGTGGTAAATTCTTGCAGTTGTTTGTGTTGGAAAATACCCAATCGGCACCTTTCTATGCATTCTTCTAACCTGACCTATTGATGCCTGCTTGTATTTTTAGGGGCCAGGGCAGCTTCAGACTTGGGGTCAACCTCAGAGACAGAGCTCCCACAGCAGAGCCTGCTGCAGCCATCCCTGCAGGGGATCCTTGATGCAGGACAGTTCTTCTTGAGACTGTCCAGACCAGGACTACTTACACTGCCCCACAGGACTTTCACCACAATACATTTCCCCAACAGATCCATGCCTGTACACATTTCGGGGAACAATCCACCATTGCCCTCCCTTAACTAAAAGATTAAAGCATACCCTGTGTTGTAAGCTGTGTCATGCCTTTACTTGCAGCCCCTACCTAGCAAAAATCTCTTGGCCAAGGAGACCACCTCTGGCTGTTGGACCCGCTCCATGGGTTTACGTGAGCTGAGTTCCAGGAGTTCCCTCTAACTCTGAATTTCCAAGACACTCTGGATAAATTAATCTGCCTGAGACCTGGGGCTGCCAATGAGAGCTTGTGACACTATGCAGAACACTGTAACAATCAGAAGAAAAATAACTTATAAAAAATTATTTTCTTTCACTCAAAGAATCAAACTTTAAATGATCCCATCTGTCATTTTCATCTGCACCCTGTTCCATTGGCTGGATTTTGCTCATTAAGATAAATTTCAAGCCAGCAGATCATTTTTACCTTCAGGGCTTTGATGAAATGTAGTGTTTGGGACTTCCTCCCCTCCTCCTTTTTTGACAGCCATGACAGAGGAATAAGTGTATCTCTCTTATGCTGCTTTGCAATTGTATGGAATGCCTTTGACCTTCCAAAAGGGAAACACTCTACATTCAAATTCCTCCTCCTTTTCCCCATGGGACTAGGAGCTGGCCAAGCCCCTCCAATAAAAGTTTCCTATTCGACCTTGCATCATAAAACCCTCTTTTCTTTATTACTCTCCTCAAAGCTTCCCCAGCAAACCTCTAGCTCTTTCAGCACTTGGTCTGGAGAGCTTCTGTGTTGTGCAAATGGTTCAAATGTCTTTGTTTCTTTCCTGAAAAGACATAAAAGCAATTTGTTGGATTCCTCACCTCATAACCAAACAGAACTGTACACTGTACACTCTGCATGTTATGGCTCCCCACAATTTCAGCCTCAATGACTTATTTTACTGTAAGTGTAATTATGCATTGGAGTGGTTTCATGAGGGATGTGATAAATCATCCGCCACTTAAAGTCTTTAAATCAAAGCTGGGTGTTTTCAGTGGGGTCCTGCTCCATGCCTGGAGCACACAGAGGCTCCCAGTGCATTTACAGGAGGGTATGTAATCACATGGTCATGGTCAGCCATGGTATTGAGGAATTAGTGGATGGGTGGGATGGCCTTTGTCATGCAGGATGTAGGATTAGTTGGACTTAATGGTCTGTTTTGGCCTTTAAATCTATGAATAGGGAAAAGGAAAGAGGGGAAAAAAAAAAAACCAACCAAAAAGAACAAAAGTCCCTATTATAGCCAGCATGTTTCTGCCTTCTGAAAGCAGAGTCAGAGTGACTGAAGGCAGCTGGAGCTGGAAATGAGTGCTGGGGAAAATCAAGGGCACCACTGTGCACTGTCTCTGATGCTCTCAGAGGCCCCCAGGTCCCCCAAAAAGGGCCTTGCAAGCAAACCCATGAGTCCAAACCCATTGGGATTTGATGATGTCTTTCAGAAAACAACAGATGTGAGAACACACACAATACTCAAACATTTTTCCTTCCCCCCCTCCATCCCCTTGAGGTCATTTTAGGTGTTCCAGAACTAGAAATCTAATGCTTTTTCTATTTCTCAATTAAGCTAATTAAAATTTTAATCTGGTGGACATTATCTTATTGCATAATTAGAAGAGCTTATATTGCAGTGGTTTGGTTGGTACCAATCCTTTTTGCTTTAAATTGTGTTTCATTAATTGAACAGAGCTTAGATGGGTGCTTATAAGGTACTAAGCCAACTATCTGCTCTTAACAAAATACTCAATTCTCCCTGGCACCTGTACCTGCTCTGAGGCCACATGCTTTATGCTATAATAGTTTTCCCTTAGTAAAGGTTGGGCTATTACAACCATGATCGCATGGGAATTTTGGGGACTATAGACTCCCCTCATAGACACCCTCACAGACTGGCTGCAGGCAGCAAACACAGAGGATCCACTTGGAAAATGGCAGATCCAAACTCTTCCTACTGACTTGCTGATATCATCTGCTTAACCATGGGTTATTGAATAATTAATTACTCCCAGGTCTCTATTAAGTCCCAAAGAATCTTTCTATAGACTAGACTGGTATTACTCTGCCATACATTTTAAAGAGATTACTGTTAATTAATTTAACTCATCTGCATACCTAAAACTCAGCTAAACCCTCTATTGTGTTACCTGCTGTCATTTCAGACGTGTAATGCTTCCAAACTCCCATAGAAATAGAAATGGATTAAACTCATCTTCTCAGATATGAAGCAATTTAAGAAATAAGTTGTTTTTCAACACCTCCCACAGTGCCCTGTGCAGAGCGGGACCTGGGAGCTGCCCAGGGCACTGACAGAGCTCTTCCTGCAGGTTATCCATCCCACCAGGAGTCAACTGCCCTCCAGGACTTTTGACCTAGTGTTTCCAAAGACACTAAATTTCCTGAAAGTGTAAATAAAACATTAGACCACAATTTATCTACTCCTGGGGCTAAGGCACCCGAAAGGGTGAACGTAAATCAGTCAGAACGTTCGTGATCTACTGACACATTTCCTTTCTAAAATAGGAGCCCGACACACATAAATCCTCACAAACGCTTCTCTGGAGCCATCCCCATCCCATTCACCCCAGACACAGTCACCAAATCTGCACAGGAACCTCCACAATGCCTGAGACTGATGGCCTGTGGATGGGCTGAGGGCTCTTGCTGCTACCACAACAAAACAGTAAATAATTACACTAGTAATGAGCCAGACCTTCCGGCTGGCCAAGTCACAGGAGCTGGGGGATTTTTTGTCAGTAAACAAAATTTCAGATTAAACAAAAAGCAAGCAACCTTTTATCAAAACTAAACATCTCCATAGAGCAGAAATCCCTTGGATAAAAATTGCTATTTTTTTCATAAGGAAAGATGAAAACAATTCAGGCATAAAAATTCTTGGATTTTTGGTTTTGGTTTTTTTCTGCAAAATATACACAAAATCCCTCACAGGATTTGAAAACACAGATTATTTCTCTGGTAGTAGCTTCTTCTGAAAAGATGGAGATTTTTAGCAAAAGGTTGGAACTGAGGTTAAAAAAAAAAAGAGGAGTAATTTTACCCAGCTCTATTGTCAGCTCCCCTTCACAAACTGCTTTGGGATTAATTGGTTGACAGCAGCTCTGTTAGCTATCTGGGAATCATGTGGATCTGTGGAGACATGGAGCTCACAGCACGGGAGTGAGCCATAAGGCTCAGCATTTCCAGGGCAAGCCTGCAGCTCCAGAGCTGGATTAGGCAGGGAGCACTGCTGGAAGCTGCAGAAGACCCACAGCAGGCACTTGCCTGCTTTCAGGTCTTGTTTGGAAATCAGCACAAGATTACTCCACAGCTGCAAAACAGAGAGTGCTTAAGCAGAATCCATTTCCTAAACAATTTCCAGAGCAGTCAGTGACTCTGCCCAAGGTGAGGCCCAGCAACCCTCTCTGCATCCAATTTGCACACTGGTTTTGTTCATGATGCAGTCCCTGCACCACCACCTCTCCAACACTGGCATTTTCCAGGCTGGCAGCCAAAGGGATGCATAGGCAGACATTCCTGCAGACAGAAAGCTAAAGCCAGTTTGCCTTACATTTGCTCCAAGAGGGGCAGGATGGAGAGCAGTGTTTTGCATCTGGGCAAGGAGTCTGAGCTCATCACTCAAACACAGAGTTTGTTTGCATCGAGGGCTCGTAGCAGGGAATGGTCTCTGCTGACACCAGACCCCACATTCCTGCCACAGCTGCCTGTATAGGTGTGTCTCTCACTGACGTGATGACAATTCAGTCTGAACTTCTTTGACACTCAAACCCAAGGTGTATGAAGACAAGGGTTCATACCTCATTGTGTCACCCTTCCTGAATTCCCTTTCAGGGATCCTGAAGCATGGGATCACAGCACTTTTGGTGGGAAGAGCTTCTCATCCAACCTCCTCCTCAAAGCAAGCTTAGCAACCAGCAGTAAATGAGCTTGGCCACAGCTTCACCTGGCCAGAGCATGAAAACTTCCTAGGATGTGGGTGCCACAATCCCAACAGAGAACCAGAGATGCATCTCTCTCACAGGGAAAAAGTTTTCCTGATTTCCAGTCTGAACCTCCCAAGCTGCTGTTGCTCCTTGTAACATCATTTACCTTTACCAAGAAGGATCTGGCTCCATCATTTCTACAGATTGCTGTAAGTTGCTATTAGCTCATCCCTTTACCAGCCTAAACCAGCTCATCAGCCAAAGCCTTGCAGGGTAGGCATCCTAAACCCCTGAAGTCTCCATAGCCCTCCTCTCCAGCCAAACTGGGATCAGCCAGTTCTGGCAGCACAGCTCTAGGTCTTGATCTGTACTTCACAACTTATATCCCTGTCCCTTGGAGCCAGCCAAGCAAATCCTGCCCAGGCCACCTCTGAGGGGGGCACAAAGACCTCCCACACATCTTCTGCGACAGCAGCACTGAGGCACCCACATTAAGCAGGCAGAAAAGAGAAACCATTCAGTTATGATTTGTCCCATTCACTGAGTTGTCTGAAAACTGCAGCTTGGGTAGGCATTAAAGCAGCTACAGTCTCAGTGGCTCAGTAGATGCCCACTATCTGGTGGCATCCAGCTATGTCCTAAAGCCTTCTCAGCCTCCAGCCTGAGTAAAGTCCTCTCTTTCCACTTAACTGTCTAGTTTACATGGCAAAACAGCTTCCCAAAATATTCTTGTAGTACACCAAACAATCTTGCTGCCGGTCCTCAAATTTCAGTGTGATTGGTAATCAGTGCACCAGGCATCAGAACTGAGTTATTAAAATATCTGCCATGATGAACAATGTAAAATAAATGCAGATAAATTGTATTATTCTGGGTCATTTAGTTTTAAGTGCAGCAGCCTCTGTGTTTTTTGCCACTTAAGCGATATGCAGCATGAAACAGCACAAATAAATACAGATGTAGAGAACATTAGATACACTTTGTAAGAGCAAATTATGCACGTTCACATTTCATTCTGGTTAGATCAAAATTAGGTGGTTTTCCTCCATTATCTCAGTGGATACACTAAAAGTCAATGATTTATGAAAGAAACCGGTGTGAATGCCATTATAATTGATTAACCTAAGAGACTGGTGACCTACTTATAGATATACAAATATGATTATAATTGTGCAGTAAGTAATTGAATGTTCTGCAGGACTTCTTTATAATGTGATTGTAATGCATAAAAATAAGAGGTAGACAAAAGGCTTCAATGTTGTACAGGCTCTGAGATCCTAGGAGAGGTGCTGAGTTCTCCCTGCTCCCTCTTGTCAAGGTGAATAGGTGTTGAGACCAGAATCAACTCCGTCCTGAACAGTAGCATTTCCCATAAATAGACTATCACTTGGACAAAAGGCTCCAGTGTACATTGTGGCTGGGATAACTTTTGACACCCTGAGCAGATCTCAATGTCTGGGACATGCTGCACACAGACCCCTCCCCAGTCATCTCTACTGGACCCACTTTTTAGAGGCTTCCTTTAGGTCAAGAAAGGGAGACAGGCAGATCCAGACCATCCAGAAGTCATGTAGGTATAAAATAAACATATGGGTCCCTATTTCTAAACCATCCCTTTGCAGCAGGACTCGGCACCACTGTAATGAGTTTGGGAATATGCCAAACCTCATGTCTGTGCCAGTCGTGGCTCTGAGTCGAGCACTGCTGCCACTTCTGCTAATGGGTATGAGTGCCCACTTGCCTGTGTTACAGTCACAGGACACAGCAAAGAACGAGAGCATCTCCCTGCCTCCAGTGCTTTGCAATCCACATCCAGAACAGGGAGCAACAGATGGAGACAGGAGACAGTCCCCAGGTGCTGGCAGCTAAAGACCATACCTAGACCATGCAAATGGCTCTACTCTGCAATCCCAGGCAATGCTCCTTGCTAATTATGCTTCCCAACACCTCTGCAGTGTGCGTCCTGTTGGACCAAGGGCCAACATCACCCAGCCCACAGCTGCCTGGAGGCTCTCATGGTATTATTATGTACCACGGATTTTCCTGTATCTTTTGCTGCCAGTCACTTCTGACTTAATTTGTCTGAGCTCCTCTGCATGGACACGGGTGGCAGAGCTAACCTCTGACAATGACACACAGCTCTCTGCAGAACAAAATTCTAGATTCCTAATTTGAATGACTAAATATACCAAAGCTCAGTGATGAATTATTTAAAATCTATACAAATTTTGATGCTGCATACTGAATTAGAGACTTCAATGCACCTCTGCAATTATGAGTCCCTCTGCCTACAGCTCCATCATGGAAAAGCATCCATTCAAACCCCCTGGGATAAGTGATCTGTTACAATTCCCTGGACTGGAAACCCTGGAGATGATGTGGGAGCCAGGAGTTGCTAGAATGGGATTGAGTTAATTAGCACTGTGTCTGAGGAGAGCTGTAACAGCATAATGAAACAAATAGAATAAAAGCAGTCTAAAGTGACTCTAGTGGATTGATGGGTGCTTGCTGCTGACTGTGGAATAGTCAGGATGGTACCCATGCCTGCACATCTATGCATTTGCCATGTATTGCTCATGCTGGGGGAGATGGATGGGGAAGAGGGTGGGTCATTGCAGCTCTGCAAGAACTTTCTGACATGATGTGTGATAGGGGCAGAGAAGTGGAAACCACTGTCAGCAGCCCCTTGCTGCCACAGCACACCTGGCTCAGTGTCAGCTCTGCTTGTGAAGAACCAAAGCCACCACCCCTTAAACCCTCGTGCAGGATGGGATCAGGTCCAACACACACAGCTCTGCAGGAGCCACAGTCAGGGATGCACTGTAGCACCAGGAATGCCTGAGTCCTCGAAAATAACCCTGCACTCAGCTCCTGCATGGGCTGAAGGTGTCCCACTGCTGGTGAGGGGCCCTGGGAGGGCTTGCAGGGCTCCTGTCCCCTTGCACCCTGCCACAAACTCTTGTCAAGCACATGCTGGTGATGGCCTTCCTATGCCCTGTAGCAGAGCAGTATGTCCATTCAACTGCAAACTACAGACATTTAGAGCACATCCCAGAGTAAAGCTCGCATCCCACCTCCCGAGGAGTTACCTCTAAGCCCGGCACACAGGTGAGTGGCTGAAGATGGCCATGTTTCACTTCTTCAACCATCAACAAGTTCCACTTTTTCAGCTTGTTTTGCATTCTTTTCAATATTCAGTTGTCTGGAAGAGGAATATGTTGGTCTCAGCAATGCTATGTTTGAGGGAGCTGCTGGCTTTTTCAGAGTAAATTGTTCAGAGTATTTTTACAGTCAGCATAAAAATACTGACACTGCCTGTATGGATAGCTCTGTTATCATGCCTGTGGCCAATAAAGAAAGTGTAAGGAAAAAAAAGAAAGCCACAAGTTAAACCCATACTTTACAACAATAAGACTCTTCCTTTTAATTTTTAAACTTCTCAAACCCTAGCTTCCACCAGAATGAATCAGTAAAAGATAAACAGAGCTGCCAAGCTGCACTGTTTTGAAGCAGAGGGATGACTCCCAGCTTGGCCAACTGTTCTGACTGCCAAATATAATATACACTAAAATGACAAAGCATAACAATACAAAAGACCACGTACTATCTTCAGTCCATATACAGCTCTATCTCTCTCTCTACCAGAGGGAATTGGAGCTGTGCCCAGCAGTTGTATCTAGCCCTGAGCATTACCTATCTACCAAAGACTAGAGAGAACTGCTGGGGACAGATAGCAGCTAATAGCTGAGCTGCTGAAGTGATACCCGCAACTTTGCTTAAACAAGAGGAGCATAAATAAACCCAGCCTGGCTTTCTCTAAACCCAAACTCCTCATTGCTGCAGAGGCATTTATGTTGTGGCATTGCCCAGCCCACTATTGCCAAAGAGGCAGGAACAGCCTGACCCACACAAGCCCCATAGAAAATTCATTGCTCCAGCACTGTGACATATCTCTTTCTACATACCTTTTCCTCATTCCTACCAGCAGCAGCTGGGCCAAACACTCAGCTTCTGTTTGCTCCTTCATGTCAGACCTCTCCTCCTTTCAGCTTCACTCTACAAATCAGGGATAAGCACCAGCTAATGTGAACTGTGGGGCCAAACAAATCCCTATGGGTAGCACCTGTGCCCCCCTCATCCCTTTACATACATCAGCTGCTCTTTCTTCCTGGGCATTGCTTGGAGTGAAGACAGCCCTGCAGCAAAATAATCCCAACTTCAAGCCCATTGTAGAAATTAAAAATTACTTCCTTCCAGTTGGATGCAAGGCTTACTAATTTCCCACCAGCATTCAGGTAGCAAGTTTGCCACATGAATAATTGTGTGTCCAGAAAAGTGTTCCACTGGTAGGGTTATTAGCAGGAAAACAAGAATTCAGTTGGAAAGCATTAATAAACCTTGAAGACAACAGCTGTTATGGTGATTGATCCACCAGCCAAGTGTACACAATTCATGCAGGATGGAGGAGCAGAGGTTATTGCACAGGGAGGGTATGCTGAGAAGCAGGAAAGAAGGCAGGGTTGTTGTAGAGGTCAGGGATAAAAATTGGCATTGCCAGGTTCAAAAGTGTTTAAAACCCCCACACATCTTTTCCAAAGCTGACTCGAAATTAGATTATTTTAGTAGTCTGCAGCATTCGCTACTTAGAATATTGGTGATTTCTTTTAATACACAGGGACAATGGAAACAGAAGAGTTTTGTGTGTGTCACAGGACAATTTCTCTGTTCAGTCCCCAGGACCAGCAGATGCTGCAATGCAAAGGCTGCAGGTGCCCCAAGGAACATACACAGATGTGCCCAGTGCACCTACCCCTCCTCCTGAGGGGACTGATAAAATCACCAAACTCCTCCAACGGCTGAAAGAAGGATTAAGGGGAGGATGGAGCTGCCTACAGAAATGCCAGGAATTTCTGGCCCAGTGCACTGGGTCTGCTGCAGGGCTCTCCTGCCCATGAGTACCTGCACATTGGGAGCATCTCTCCTTTCTGCCTGTGTGCATCAGGGGTTTGTCCTCTGGCACTCACTGGAGTACGTTTTCAGTCTGTCTGGATAAGGATGCTGGTAAGAAAAAGGAGAAGGTGAACCTAAGTTGGCATGTTTGGCATGCAGGAACACCCATATCTGAAGCAATGTGATGTTCTGTAGCTCTCTTTGCCTCCCTGGAAACATCCCTTTCTGCAGGAATGTCTCATCCATCCCGGCAGTACTGTCTCTGCAAAAGCTGAATGGAAAAAACCCCATGGCCATAGTGGAGACAGAGGAGAGGGAATTCAGGTCCCTCCACCCAGGACCACCACTGGTGCTGGGCACAGGCTGTGATCCTCCCCAAAGTCTTCACATCATGGCACTACAGTTCATGCCAAACACACTGTAGGGTATTGAGCTCATTGCATTATGTTTCCTTCTGAAAGGAAACAAAAACAAAATCTTACCAGTTTATTATTTCAGCTAATTATATGAACCAACAGTATTTCATCCAAACCATTTTAGGAAAATAATTGGAGAATGTTTGCAAAACCCAAGCAACCGTTTTTCTCCTGCCAGGATGGCAGATGCAAACATAAAGAGTAACATGTCCATACATCTCCAATCTCAACTTCTTATGAAACAAAATAAAAGCAATCTGGTTGTGAACTGATCCAAAGCAAATACAATATTTCAGAACACGCCACATTTAGTTGGTGGGGCTGATTTATATGATGCAATTTAAAGACCAGTGTGCAAATATGGAGGGGAAGACTATTTCCCCTTCACACTTTCTTACCTCGCAGACATTGTTTTTGTTTTGCATGTAAGTGAGGAGCCCTTGGCCTATGTAGCAGCTGCCTTTGAAGGATGAGCACTGACTGGTTTCTATGGCACTTCCAAAAAGGGTTGTTTTACAGGCCAGAGGTTCCCTTCGTCACACAGAACGTTTTGCCATTTGTTGAGTGATCCGTGAGATCATCACACAGTGGTCTTCAAAACAAGTGTTGCCAAAAGTGTCCCCCACCCAACTTCCATTTGCAGGCACTATCTCTATTCCCAATTTACAGCTGGAAAGAGGGGCAGGGAGAAGGCAGCAGAAGGCTCTCTAGGGAAGCAGTGGAGTCACCAGCTGTGGAAGTGTTCAAAAAATGAGTAGATGTGGTGCTTTGTGGCATGATTCAGTGGGCATGCTCAAAGGTTGGACTCGATGATCCTGGAGGTCTTTTCCAAGGTTAATGATTTTATGATTTGATGACCTTTCTCAGGTAGTTCCATGCACAGGCTGAATGTCAGTGCTGACAGCCAGTGTGCCACCACAGAGCCCAGGATGGCAGGATGGGATCACCCTGTTCAGTGCCTTCTCCTTTGTCACACACCATCTGAGAGACAAAGACCTCATTGTGTTTGACGTTTCCATGACTCGTTTTCTGAGGAAGTGCTGCTCCAGCCATTGTCTCTGTTCTCTTTTAGATTTCATGGTCAGTTTCTAAGATTTAGTGGCTTTTCAGCAGGCAGAAGAGCACCTCAGTTTTGTGGCACTGCAGACCTACTTAGAGATAATTGCTGAAGTAAATCAGGAACAAAGGGAGACCTAGTAAAAACTGGAAATTATATCTTAAAAGCGAAATTATACTGAAAAAAAAGAAAAACACAAAACAACAACAAACTAACAACAACAAAAAAAAAAACCCCACCCACCCCCCCAAAAAACCAACCAACCAACCAACCAAAACAAACACAAACCAACACACAAAAACAGGAGAAAGAATATCAGCAGGATAATTGTCATTTTCAGTAAGGAGGCCAGGGAAGGGTTTCCAAAACCAGTCCAGTCCCAATTCTCAGTTTGCCTTGCTAAATCTTGATCCATCATTTTGCAGTGAGCCTAAGCATATATTCCTCAGGGACCTGCTTTCTGAATGAAATCCTCCAGCCCTCCATCACAGGAGCAAGGAGGGATGCCAAGTGCCTACTCTGAAGGGCTGCTACTGCTGCCTTAGACAGAAGCATTCCTGAGTCCTTCCACAGCTTAACCTCATCCCATTTCCTGTTCCCAGGGAGAACCAAAGCTGTATGTTGTTCAAAGGCTACACAAAGACAAATCAGTGTTTTACACCCAAGCACCCTCAATATTTGGGCCACAGCAGCCCTGTAGCATCACAGGTAAGATACCATCAGATTGGTCTAAGATACACCTCCCAGGAATGAGACAGGTCAACAAGAATAAATACATTAATTTAATTCTTTCTCTGCTGCTTTCCCCTTGCTACCAGCAGTTGCATTTATGCATTTTGCACACCAGTGGTGTGAGGAATGTTCTCGGGAAGGTCTGCATCCCAGGACTTGGAAGACTCTAATACCTGGATTTCATGAGCAAGGGAAAACAGCCACTCTGTGAATTAATGGAAAATCTTATGGCAACGCCAATAAACAGAGACGCTAATTAATGCCAATTCAATGAAATTCATTTAGGACTCAGATTGCTAACCAAAGCTTTTCTTCCCCCACATCTGGATATTGCAAACCTTCAAGCAATGCTGGAGATTTCCCTCAGCTCCCTGAGGAACCTGGCCCTGTGCAATGAGCTGCAATGTAAACCGCTGCACTGCCTGGGTCTGCTGGTGGGTGCAGGATCCCCATGGAATTACAGGACTTTTCTGCAATGATATATGTTTGACATGGCAGTCAGGTAAACTGTGTTGTGCTGCATTCATGAGCATTTTTCAATTAACACTAACAGTCTAACACTGAAGATGGTCTCCAGTCTCAAATCTCAGATATTCAAAGTCTGAGGGTTGTTTGAAGTTTAAGCATGGTTGAGCTGGGCTAGCCCTGCATTATTTTCTAAACATTGACTTTTCTGTCATCTTTATTTATTATAATTAATACTCTCTTAATGCAGACTCTCCCTGGACTTGTTCTGGGATATGCTGTACTCCTTGTTCTTGTGATGAGCAGTATTCCCCCACCAGAACACAGACATGGCATAATGACTCGAATTTGCAAAGGCACTTTGTTTCTTATGGAAATCTGATTATCAGTGCAAAAAAAAAAAGCCCCTTCTTTTTCATGGCAAAGTGGCCTGTTCTGCTCCAGATGAAAATGTGGATGTTTCCATAATTGCACACTGACCTGTGTTGAACAAGCCAGCTCAAATGCTATTTTAGCTCAGTGTGGCCAG